TATCCCGGGGTGGAGGCATCGGCAGCCCAGCCCCGTTCATTCCCCTGCGGGACCAGAGCGGGACGGGGGGGCTGGGGCCTGCTGCCCCCACTCCGGGGCCGCCGCGGGATTGCACCAGCTGGGCAGCAGCCCAGACGCGACTGGCCAGGGGCTGGGCGCAGCGAGCGCGCTGCTGGGTCCCCACGGCAGGCCCAGGCTCAGGGAGTTCGGGGGCGCCAGAGCCGCAGCCGCCGAGCTTGGCCATCGGCCGCTTCCTCCCCCCGCGGCAGTGGGAGCTGCAGCAGCGGCTGCTCCCGAGTCCCGCTGCCCGGTGGGGAGAACAGCCGCGGGCCGCCCCCCTCCTCTCCCTACTGCCCGACTGAGTTCTCCCTGCTCGGGGCCAGGCCGGACTCTCACTCACCCCGGCCCCGCGCTCCCCCTGCGAGGAATGGTGAGCCTGGGGAAGAGGCGGGGATTTGGGGAGGGAGCCAATGGGGGGAGGAGGGGGCAGAGTCAGAGCAGGGGTGTGTGTGCGAGCACTTCCAGGCTCTGGAGCATTTGCTTGTTTGTCCAGTGTCCCGACCGCACATCAGTCGGGAGGCGGGACAAACAAGGAAATATCGGGACAGTCCCGATAAAATCGGGACGTCTGGTCACCCTACTTGCACATTCGGAAAGGCAGATTGCAGAGTAAATGCTAGAATTTCAATCACGTATGTTCAGAGTGAAAGCAAAGGAAATATTCTAAAGACACATTTTCAGATTCTGTTTGTTCCAGTCTTTGCCCATAACATTCCTTTCCCCGCCCCACCTCACTCCCTTTTAGGAGGTGGTGGAAATAAAGAAGTGATCAGATTATTAATAGTGTAATTATCGTAAGATGGGGCTCACCTTCTCTGGCTTCATACATATCAACTTGGAACCCTCTTCTTGCAAAGAAACAGACATTTAAAGCACCCACCTACAAGAGAGTGACCGAAATATGTTACAGTTATAGAACAATTTCCTTGCAGAGACTCTGAATGTGCTTTGCAATTATAAACATGCAGCATCACTGACAGGCAGCTTCTTATAGAGGGGACGGTGACAACCAACTGGTACACAGCTCAGCAGGAAATGGGGTATCTTGACCATGTACCCGAGAGACCTCTTCTCCTAGGAAAGGTGCCCTAGAATCCCTAACATGCATACAGGGTAGCTAGGACTCGGTGGTCAAAGTTCCCAACCAAAGATCCCTTCACACTAAGTTGCACTGAAATTTAGGCCTTGTCTACACTCAGGCACACACACCGGATTCAGCAAGCAGTGTAACTTTGACATGTAGGCAAGGGCAAGCTGGAATTTGCACCAATTGTCAAGCCCCTGTTTACCTCCCGCGAGAGAATTTAGGGTGTTTCTCTTGTAAACTGACTCCAGGGAACTTATGACTGGCTAACTTTGCCTAGATGCCCAAAGTGCTACAAAGGCAAATCTAGATCGTATATTGCCCATACACCATGCTTTTGACTGGTGCTGTGACCTAAGAACCTCTTAAGGCCAACTGGCAAACGCATGCAGAGCTGTTACAGGAATTTCCTGCGTCTGCCATGTACATTCCTGTTCAGCAAAGAATGATCCCAAGTGAAAGCTGGAGTCACATTGGTTATGAATAGCATCAAGAAATGTATGTGGAGATACTAGATAAGGAATCATACATTGATACTGAAAATATGTTCTTAAAGTCTGTATCAAGGTACTGGTCACAGCAAAGGTGAAAAACAGTTTCTCTGTCAGACAAGAGATGTTTCCGGCTATCAGTTTATATGTAGACCGAGTATTCTCATTCACTATGAGTCTTGTATCACCAGTCTGGACTGCATGCAAATGAAGGATTGAGGGGATGTCAAGAAGAGAAACTAACAGGAAGAGAAAAACAGCAGGTGTGGGGGAGAGAGAGCCCTGTCTAGAGCTGCACATCAGAGGTTTGCTCCACTATATTTGTGAGGCAAAGAAGACATGCTGGCATCCTTCACTGAGAAAGTAAAAGGCCAGTGACTTTGCTTCATGAAAATGGGGGCTCAGCCAGACTTGGTTGGAAACGCTGGAGAGAACTTTGGGTGTGATAAGCTTTTTTAGACAAGAGAGTAACTCGTTAGTTACGTCTAGTCTTTAAAAAGCGTGTTGTGATTTGTTTTATACGTAACCCTTTGTTTCCAGTATTCTTACTCACAGTCACTTGACTCTCTAGTCTGATAATAAACGTAGTCTTGATTTCCAATACAAATATATCTCAGTGCCGGTGTGTTAAGCAAAGTGCTGGTCCTGAATTGAAGCTCACAAATATGGCAGGTCCTGTTCCTTTGGGAACAGCAGGCCTGGTCATTCAGTGAGTGTGCAGTGGATAAGGAACTGGACACTGCAGGGAACACGCCACGTATTCAGGCACTGGCGTGTGCCTGTCACTACCTGTACGGAGAGCAAGGCCTGTGCTGTGCTTCCAGAGGCTGGTGGTTTCAGGGCACTGAGCCCTGGCAGGCCCAGACAAGACTGCTTCATGCGAAAGGCAGATGGTGGAGAGGAGCCTAACAACCTGGGAAGCGTCCACAGCTGCTGCCCTTGTTTTCTGCATATCCATCATCATTTTCCACAAGGTCTGCTACAAATCCATGCCAGAAGACAACCCGGACCCTTTGTTACAGGGCTCTGTTCCACTGACTTGGCTAGTCAAGGAGCAAAGATCCGGCAAACATGCCAAATCTGCCTTCATGCTACTGTCCCCCACGTCCGTTATCCTACAGGATTTGATTTTAAGTTCAAGGAAAAGGGAGATCAACAGTGGGGAGGAGACATAAATTTCATTATTATTGTTGTTATTTCTTTCTTTGTATTACTGTCATGTAGGGGCTCTAGTCCTGGACCAGGCCACCCACTGTGCTAGGTGCTGCACCAATGCAGAACAAAGGCTGTGCACATCTTGGGACAGGGACTATGTGCCCAAGATGTGTATAAGACAAGAGACAACACATGGATACAGACAGATTGGGGGAGCACAAGAAAACAGATGATACCATCTAACTAGACCAGAGAGACCCAGCGTGGGGAAGGAATTCACCAGCAGAGTGACTTGTGTGATGGCACGAAATGCACATTAGTGCCACTATTCATTGGATGGGGGGAGGGTGGGGGGAAATAGGAGGGGATCAGCTAACTGGAAAGACAAGGGAAGGGGAGTGAGGGGGACAGGGCGGGGGGCGGAGGGTCGGGGGGGGGAGTGAAGGGGGCGGCTACGTGGTGGGGGGGAGGTTTGCACACATGCAGAGGGCAGGGCACTGCAACTCAGATAGGATGGCCCACCATCCTGTTCCCAGCTCTCCTGAGGCTTCAGCAGCGACAGGACTGGCTGGGGCTGGAACCAACTGGTGATGATGTGAGAGACTCCAGCTCTGTAGCAAATATGAGCCCTGCGTGGGGGAAATACTTCCTCTGATTGGCCACCTGCCCCACTGCCCTGCCTCCTGGAGCAGAGCAACCAATCCGAGTTGCTGTAGGAAGAGTTCTCTCCCCACCCAAAGCCATTCTTACAGGAGGGGAGGGGGGCAGCACAGAGCCAGCAGCTCAGGGCAGCCCCACTTCCCGCCCCACCCTCCTGTGAGCAATGGGGATGGGATGTGTCTTCTGCTCCTCCCTCCATCCTCCTGCACACCACCTGGTAGGGGCAGAGGGGGGACACAGAGTCCCTGGAGCTGCCCCCCATCATCAGTCCTGAAGGGGGGAGAGGGGACTCTGCTGCAGTACAGGCTTGGGGGGGGTGAAGAACCCCAGGAGGAGCACTGGGGGGGATGGGGGCCAGGATTAATTTCTGGGCAGGCAATGGACAGACATGGGGTGAGAGTTCCTGCAGAATCCCCCTGCCAATACTTTCATTGTCACCCCCATTCCACGGGTGGGCCAGGGGAGTTCAGCAATCCAGGCAGAAGGGTAAATGTTAGGCTGAAACATCTGTAACAGCTGTAAAGGGGTGGAGGTCTGTGTAAGGAAACAGTCGAGTCCCCGTTATTGTTGTTTAAATGTTATTTAGGCAACACTCCAAATCCTGCTGACACGATTCTGGGTTGTATTC